ACTGAGGACGCAAGAGGAAGCTGTCTGAAAGGGATGTTTGGGTGCTAACCCGGATTGTATCCAAAAAAAACCCAAAAACACAGCTGCCCAAATCACGGAAGAATTAAATGTGCACCTCAACTTTCCTGTTTCCACCAAAACTGTCCGTCCGGACCTCCACAGGGTCAATATACACGGCCGGGCTGCTATAGCCAAACCTTTGGTCACTCGTGCCAATGCCAAACGTTGGTTTCAATGGTGCAAGGAGCGCAAATCCCGAGCTGTGGACAATGTGAAACATGTATTGTTCTCTGATGAGTCCACCTTTACTGTTTTCCTTACATCCGGGAGAGTTACGGTGTGGATAAGCCCGAAAGAAGCGTACCACCCAGACTATTACATGCCCAGAGTGAAGCATGGGTGTGGATCAATGACAGTTTGGGCTGCCTTATCATGGCATTTCCTTGGTCCCATATTTGTGCTAGATGGGCGAGTCACTGCCAAGGACTACCGAAACCATTCTGGAGGACCATGTGCATCCAATGGTTCAAACATTGTATCCTGAATGAGGTGCCGTGTATCAGGATGACAATGCACCAATACACACAGCAAGACTGGTGAAAGATTGGTTTGCTGAACATGAAAGTGAAGTTGAACATCTCCCATGGCCCGCACAGTCACCAGATCTAAATATTATTGAGCCACTTTGGGGTGTTTTGGAGGAGCGAGTCAGGTAACATTTTCCTCCATCAGCATCACGTCGTGACCTGGCCACTATCCTGCAAGAAGAATGGCTTTTAAAATCCCTCTGACAGCTGTGCAGGACTTGTATGTCATTCCCAAGACGAATTGAGGCTGCATTTTGCAAAAGGAGGCCCTACACCATACTAATAAAATATTGGGGTCTAAAACCAGGTGTTTCAGTTTCATTGTCCAACCCCTGTATATTCTGATGCACCTTTTCCTCCTTTTCACACGTTCTTCTTATTTTTGACTATGTAGCTGATGTAACAACTAAATTTCTCCACTGTGAGATCAATAAAGCCAATCAATCTTTTTTTATAGTGAGATAAAAAAAAGCTGCAACATAATTCCAGAGGAATTCCATTTGAAGGCTTGATATCACAATAGGTTATTTTCAGTGTAAGCTACAGAGTTCCTATATCATCTGAAACATAAGTGTTGAGCATCACTGGAGGTTTTACAATATATCTCTGTGTCCGTGCTTCTCTTGTCATGAGCAAACAAGGGTCTGTGGCAAAAACGTTGTCAAGTATTCCCAGAACCTTGTTATTTTATTGATGACACTTCCAGAGGAAAGAAACAGTGAATCAAACCTAAGAAAAAAAAAAGTCTCTCAGAGAAATCATATAGATTTATAAAACTGACACCACTGTTATGGTCATCCAAGTCCGTCATACATGTGAATGTTGGCTATGCATTTTTAATGTTACAGAAAAGCAACCACACAGCTGTGTGTCAGATCTTTTAATCAAATACATTTTTCTGTCAGATTAGAACTCGAAAGTTAGGAAAAAAAGCAGCATCATATTGTCGATTTTCCCACTAGTTTTTCATGTGTCTAAGCTTACATACAAACTCCCATTGAATTTACTTGACCTTTGTGAGTACATCCCACATGCCCACTGAGGTTACATCAATATAATGTCTGTCCAAAACCTTGGATCATAAGTTAGAGGGCATACTAGACAAAATAAATCTAGTGAATACATTCATTTATTTAAGATTACTTAGCATAGATGCTACTGATTTAGCTCACTTATATGAAAGAAACAAAATTCCTGTTTTCTTTTTTTAATATGAGCTGTATACTTTGCTGGAGGTTAGATTAGGGTTCCTACCAAGGAAGTGCTGGGAGACCGGAACATTTTTCAGAGTTCAACTTTTATTGTCATGGAATTATTTACATTCGTGCAATGGCATTTTATAAAGGTATCTGGTACTGTAAATCCCTGTAACTCTTGTCTGTAATATTTATATTGCTGCCGTCCTAAGGCATGCATTCATAAAAATGTGTAAACTGAATGGGAGTAAAACAAGAAGGAGTTTGGGTGATATCTTAGTCTTTTACTAGCATTTCTAATACTCCAGTTTAGTAACAACATTATTATTAATATCCATAAATGAAAATTATCAATAAATGACCCAGTAATACAGACACATTTGAACTGAGATTTCAAGTTCACCCTGTTATTATCATTTGTCCTTACTTCTGCAGTGGCTGTAGACTTAATCCAGGCTGATTGCACCTCCTGCTTCTTGTGTCGACTTTGTGTTCATCAGCTGGTCCAAATGTGCTACTTCAAGATAATTTCCGATTACTGTTTAGATGTGATTCATTAAACCAAAGCCTCTTTCACATTCTGCACTGGATGCTTGAAGTGCAGCACAAGTAATTACTCACATATAATTGCTGCATCTAAGTTCTGCAGCCACCATGATGTGAGAATGGTCTGATTGATGCCTGTTTAAGTTTTCGCATTTTCCATGCTGATGACATTTACAGAAGTGGTGGAAAATGCACTATACTGCTTTGCCATTGTAGCAATATATTGGTGCTTCGAAATTAAATTCATATCCAGCAAAAGAAGCATCAAAGCAGTGTTTTAAAACAGCCTTTAAAGTTTTAGTTGTAATCTTATTCTTTTGGACAAAAATGCTTGTTAGTTTTAGTCCCAAGTTATTTCATGTTTTAATTGAAGAAAACTCAAATAGTTTATTTTTTATATATATATGTATAATAAAGTACACCACCTTTAAAGTTGTCAAGTGAATCCAAAAAAATAAAAGTAGACATATCTTAACAAAACATATATGTGTGAAAATATATTTATTACTCATCTAAACATACTTTCACCTACCCATTAAGAATGGCAATCATGTGCTGCTCTTCTTTTGCTGTTACCATAAAAACCTTCTGCTGTTGTGCAGCATGGTACCCCCAGCTACTGTAATAACAGTCTACACACAATGTGATTTTTTTTTTTCCATTCATAAAACACTAAAATCAGACAGATTCAATAAGGGTACAGTCCAGGTCTCAGACTGGGAACATTTTTCGGCTCCGGCGTTTTTCCCTCTACA